TAAATACGATCGTGAGGTGTAATAAATGCCGGCAGCGTTTTATACATAGAGATATTTTACATCCGGAAACATACGTAATTACGAACAGGTGTATCTAAATATATAATGATCGTAAGAAACGTAATTACCCTGGAACAGGTGTATCTAAATATATAATGATCGCGAGACGTGACGCGCGTAAGCTCAACACCGTAATCAGTATGAAAATATAATTAGGATAAAAATAATTAACGATCCGGCGTCGTTTCATGCGAAGGGACTCCTGGCTCGATCAGGCACTCTCTTATCGTCGGCGGGCCAACTCGACGGCGACAGATAGTATCGAATAAATTCATTCCACCGGAAACATAATTGCGATTTATGTTCTGCTATTGTTCGAGGGTCGACCGTCTGCTCGTTTCGCCCCCTCCTGAGACACATTTCAGGCCGCCCGAACGACTACAGGAAAATCTCTAATTCACCCTAGTCGCCGCGCGTGCCCGCCTCTTCGCCTAAGCGAGCCGGAAATGATGAATTTGCGAGTCTTATCGCGAGCCCGGAATGACGTCTCTCGTGACAGTGCGAGAGCGGCGAATAAATAAGCAGTCCTTACGGGCAAGAGACAATGCTGCCGGGGATGTGATCCTTACGGAGCTACCCTCGCTCGATTACGAAATCTCTTATCGGAAATGACAGAACTTGTGAGAGCAAAATTAGACTCGACCCTCGAACGGTCTCGAGGAGAAACGAAAGCGGCCGCGTAGACGCGGCATTTGCACCGTCGTCCTTGCTATTGTCCTTGCTATCGTCTAGTGAAATTTTCTCAGATTAGTTCCCCGTGTCCCTTTCGCGTCGTTCGAAAGCCATGACGGTATAGTTCACGCAAGGTCGCGAGTTTCAACTTCAACTTGAGATATCAGTAAAGAGAGCTTGCGTAACGCACGTCAGTCCGGATTCACAATTGGTGTAGCAAGTTTTCAGCCTTTTGCTCCAAGCAATAATATGTAACGTAATTTCTGACAGAAAGCGTTTCCCGTACTGCCGAAAGTCACGATAACGCTTAAGTTTTACACAGAAAAAGGTGCCAGAAGTTCAAAAAATGATAACTTCAATAACTCATTAATCAATTTTTTGGATTAAGTGAATTTTATTTGGGTCGAGTAAATATTATCTGATTAAAGTAAAAATTTGCCATGAAATATTGGAACATTTATTTGTAGTGTTATTTACTTAAATATCATGGAGAATGAAATTAAAATTAGAATTTTTTTCTGTATAGGAATTGTGACGTCTGGCTAAAAACATTTTTTGTTAAAAATTTTGTTACAATTTAATGCATCGAATAAAAGGCTAAAGGTTTGCCTACATCCATTGTGGATTCGAATTCACCCACGCGTTTGCTTCAGGATCAATAGGGCTCCACTGTTCTGCGCAGGAAACATATCGAGATGCAATTCAAGCGATGTTATAGTTCTCAGAAGTCGCGTCTTTCGCGACCGTCCTCCGAGATCTGCGGGGGCTGATAGCGGGATGAAAACGTATTTTCAACTTGGAGCCTCGAGACATTGATCAAATGACTTGATTGTGACTATTGTACGTAATGGACGAGACGCAACGGTCGGAGACAATTAGCGTCGGGACTAGGGAGGATTTAACTCTCTCACCGTTCACACAGGCCCGAAGTTTAAGCAAACTTTGCGATGCAAATGCCGACGGCGTTGAGCGAACGTTGCAGTGTCTTATCGCGATCCTCTTCGTAGATACTTCAGCTCGAATGTGCCTGTTCGTGAAACTTGTCGCAATCTAAGCTCGACGTTTTGCGTATGAATATTCGTGAAAATGAGGCGGAACACTATCGCGTCCATTAGCGCCAAAATGTAAGTGTCGTCTGGTGTGTCGTCGAGCAGCGGTTCAACTGAAAGCTTTATACGTCTCTACATCGTAGGAACAGTTTAATCCGCCGGGAGGGGGGGGGGGGAATAAGNGGAATAAGCGAGTCATTAACCGGGAATTGATTCGGTTCAGATCACGGGAGTACATCCGGTCGTCTGGAGAAAATCCGCGCCTCCCCTGAAAATCGTCGCGAAATGTGATCAAATCCGGTGTGCTAAAGTCTAGTAAACAGACCATTTAACGATTACGTCACGCTAAATTTAGATATTTTACCCCCTCCTCCCCCCCCCCTCTACTCCCTATACCTCTTCAAATTTCATCACCAAATATTTACCTCTTTCCAATATTACATGACATGTGAATTACCTCTCCGGCCGACACAGAATAAAAAAGATAACTTATAACTATATTGTGAGTAGTAATTATTAGACTACGTGCTATTTTTTTTTGTTAATATAAATAATATTTAGCCGTATAATATCAAATTAATTATTTTGTAATTTTGATTAGTAAAAGTTGTTTTTTAAAGAAATAAGTATTTAAAAATAAATATTTTGATTATTAACACAAAATTATATAAAAACTTAAAAATTTTTACTGATATTAGCCGAATGTATTACGAATACAAAGAAAGTGAATAACCCACATACATCCACATTTACAAATTATGTAACGTCTTCCATGGCCTTTATCCCCCCCTTCAATCAAAGACCGTCACGCAAGCTACTAGACTACCCTCCCCCTTTGTGATGTGACGTAATTATTGAATAATCCCTAAAGAACTTGGTTGGACGTTTCTGTTTTCTTTTATAAAATCATAACTATCCTTTCCCCACGTTCTATACGCATAGAACTTCATTTGTCGTCCGACGAGTTAATTACGGGAAACAAGTTTCTGGAAAAAGGATCTAAAGTGGCTCAGGTTTAATGAGCGGCAACGTGCAAATTTGAGGACAGTGGCTTTGGAAAAGTTGCGCGACGCGACGCTAAATATGCTCGACTGATAATTGTCATATTCCACTGTGTAAGGTCTGGTAGGTCGGGCCGAAGATGTCGCAAAAGCAGCTTAAAGTTCCCCTACCCTTGCGAGTTCTCCGGGAGCGAAGCGGCGCGCGGACGAAATCCTTTAATTGACCGCACGCAAGAACTCATCTCGATGAGTCTTAGGCCAATTAAGGAAGTTCCTCCGTTACGAAGGTTTGTAACCTTTCCGCGTCCTTGCGTGAGCTATTACAGAAATTAACGGGTCTCCGTTTCAAGCGGTGCATTTGCATTAACCGCGATGAAATAATCATCTTGCTGAGATTTCGCCGCGATAGCGCTCTCTTTCTCTCTCTCTCTTTCTTTCTATCTCTTTCTGCCTTGACGTTTATTTTAACATTAACGACGAACATAATTTAATTAAAGTGAATTTTGTAACAAGTATAGGAAATTTGCGGTAAATTTCACCGGGAACACTATAATAAAATTAATAATAGCGGTGGTATATTGCTTTTGTAATTTCTCGCGACGTAATCTGTATTCTGGCGCAGTTAATAATAATAATAGGATGAGAATAATGATTTCGAGGGGAAAATTACAGGAATACTCGTTCATATTTTCACTAATTTTATTTAGTACAACGCGGAAGGTTAAAAATATAGAGAGAGAGAGAGAGGGGGGGAGGGGGGATTAGCGATGTTACAAAATTATGTAATTTACCATATTTAAAAAAAGGGAGATTTAAAAAAGTTCGTTATTACGTGATGTATATAGAAATATAATTCGGGTCACATCGGGGATAAGTTTAACAGGTGGCAGGCGGAAATTAGAAAGCGCGCAATTAAAATATTCGTTGTCAACTTCTCGAGTAAATAAACTCCCTGAAATTTCACGTGGAAATTTCCGCTCTGCCGTTGATGTCACTCGCGTAATATCTGGCGAACAGCGGCGGGCAGCAGGTCGCACGGAAGCTTTTCGCGAGAGGCGAGAACGACAGAGGGAGGACGACGTTTTTTTTTCGCCGGCAATTTGCGGCGGTTTCAATTTTCGTGCCATTGTCGATTACGTCAGACGCGCCGATCTGCGTCACACGCGGAGTCGTTTGCTCGCTCGCTCGCGCGCGCCCCAACGGCGTATCCTCATCGCTACCTCGCGAGCTCGCTTTTTTTTTTTAATCCGTATTCAATTATTTTCGCAGTATCCATCGCGGCGTGGTTTCAGTATTTGCGAGATCAATTGTTACAAGGGCTGTGCGGTGCGCCATGTACCGCGTGAAAAAAAAAAATCGTTTAGGCGAGCTGGCTCCGATTCTGTATTTCGATTACACGGCTCGCTCATCGCATTGTTCTCGATTTGGGATTTTCCTCGAACTGGCCGTCCGGTTTTTCCCCTTCACGCATTGTGAAGCGCTGTCGGTTCGCGACGATCGCGGCTGAACGTGCGTGCGTGCGAAAGTCCGTGTGAGCTCGCTCGCTCGCGAGTGAGCGCTCAGGGAGTGATCGACCACCGATGCGAAACGAATGTAAACCTATTATCGCCCCGCTCAATCTGCGCGAAACGGGCAAATCGACCGGCGTTCGCGATGTGGTCACTTATCCCGGGGTATAGACCCCCCTCTCTCTCCCTCCTCCCCTGTAATTAACCGCGTCCAGTCGTAAATCGGATCGCTTCTGCTGGCGTACGGACGCGCGCATCCCCCGCCGCGAGAAATTCTCGCGGAACTCCAGTTGCGGCAGCTGGCCCGTCGTAAATTCGGTAATGATTCCCTCGTTGCGCCGTTACTCCCATTCGTCAGGTAGCTCCAGCTTACGTGCGCCAACTTAACGAGCTAATGAGTCTGCGGAATCGGCACGAAGGGAAGAGAGAAAGAAAGAGAGAGAAGGAAAGGCCAGACGAAGGAAGAGAAAGAGAACGAGAGCCGGTGTATTCCCGAATTACGCCGCTGGTGCATAGCTCGTTACGTTCGGATGACGCACGGCGAGCAGGAGGAGGAGAAGGACGACGGGGATGACGACGACGACCGGGAGGTGGCGGAAGAGGAGGAGTACGAGGAGTTAGCGGTGGTGGAGATAGAGGTTACGGAGCGTTTCCCAGTTAGGGCAATTCCGCACTTTCGCTCGCCGCAATTAATTAGCTCAATTCCCGCTTCCTGTTGTGCCCGACGCCGTCGGGGTGTCGGGGCGCCCATCGCGCACGCATGCATTCCGACGACGCGCGCATTCCGCCGTCATAGTTCACGCACCCACGCATGCGAGCACATGCACGCGCTCTCTCACGTAGCCGGAGGCGTTTTAAAGCACGTATACACACGCGAGACCATGAACGCCGAGACGACGACGATCTGCCTCTCGGTGCTGTGCATTTACGTGATGACGGCGCCGTCGCCGTCGACGCCGCCGCCGCCGCCGTCGCCCTCACTGTCGCCGTCGCCATCCCCGCGGCCTTCGGAAACGACGCCGCCTCGTCCCACTGACGTGGGTAAGGCTGTAACCGAGCGGGTTGATTCCTTCGGGGAGGTTTCTTCAATTGTGACTAACGAGACGCGCTGAAATTTCTCGCCTCGTCGTTCCTCGGATTTGCAATGGGTCGGATTTTTGTCGCGCGGAGACCCGCCGCCGATGTCCGGAAAGTTTTAATATCTAAGCGATGTATGTGCACAGTGTGTCTCCTCTGCGTCTGAAAAATTGCACGTTCGTTTCTAAATATCCTTTCTTCTTCCACTTGGCTAAAATATCTCGAAACGTGGAATTGCAACGGATGAGGCGAACGAAATGAAAGAGCCGCCGAGGGGGAGGATTTCATTTTCTTCCCTGTTTTAACTTCCCCGCGAGAATGGATGAATGATTGCGATAATAAATCTAAGGTGGTGCGTGCAAATGGAATTAACAGAGATCGTAGGGATTTGAAACGGTGGTGCTTCGTAAACGGGAGAAATTGCTAGTTCGAGGCGAAAGTACTTAAGGTAAATACCGTTGAAAATTGGAAGGGACGCCGAGAACGAACGCCACTTGCGCTCTGCTCGCCGCCGGTGTATCGGTGTTAGGAGAGGCGACGTCGTCGCTTGTTGGCGACGTCTGCAAAAATAAGCGATCCTCCGAGCGAAATGCCTCGTAATCGTATCATTATCGGCGGATTACGTGCAATCACTCCGGTCGTCCCGATCGAGAGTCCCCGGTGTTTTCGCCGTCTTACGCTGCGGTCGCTCTTATTACACACACGCACACGCGCGCCACACGTGTGCATCCGTGTGTCCCTTGTCAGCGTAATGACCGGTCACGTTCTTGGCTTTGCTTCTTGCAGCTTACGCGAGCCCACTGGAACCACACTTGGAGATCCTGCCGAGCGGCGAGACGCATTCGAAACCGATCGGGACCAGCATCATCCTCACGTGCAAGCCGAAGGTGGACCAACCGAACCTCATCAACGATATGAAATGGCTCGACACGCGGAACCGAACGATCGAGCCCGTCAGGTAAGCCGATCATATCGCGACCGACCGCGATCACTTCGTCATTTTGCCTACAAATTGCAATTTCGAGGCGATGCAGGAGCTGGTCGCGCCAACGCAGGCTTGTCTCTGCGTTTCTCGATCTGTATTCTAATCGGCGGCCAAGAAAGCGACTGAGCTGATCGCGACTGTTTAATTAATCGGGGACAAAAACCGTCGGCACTGTTGGTCGACCACGATCCTGCAGTCGTCCTTTTTGCCGGTTCCCGGGACACTTACGTTACATGAGTAACTGCGAGAATTCGCAACGTTTCTTTTTTTTTCTTTCTTTTAATTATCGTTGTTATTTTCATTGAAAAAAGGGTAACAATTACTAAATATCTAGGTGAGATAGTTTCAACTAAGTGATTTTCATCACAGTAACCAAATTATTTAGTCGCATAGTATGTTTAACTAAGTTATTTGGTTGGCGCAACTGAATCATTCGGTTACATGTGCCGTGCAACTAAATGATTTGTTCACCGTAACCAAATCGTTCAATTGAAATTATTTCACTAAATGTTTGGTAATTCTTACCAAACTCTTTTTTCCGTGTAGAAATCGCAACGTGGGATTTGTCAGGAAAAATTTTGTGAGATGCGTAATCTCTAGGAATTAGAAAAATAATTGATTCTTTTTGTCACCTTTTTCGATTTGAAAAGTAATATTTGCGACTAAGTAATGCTCAAATATATGTATATTTCACGCGACAGTAATCGTAATTTCTGATGTTTTTTGGTTTTCTAGGTACGTTTTAGGTTTCATTTACGATCATACGATGATAGAATAGATCTTTAGTAGAAAGCATAAACATACTGCTAATTAACGGGAGAGCTTTAGACTTGATAGTGTAGAGAAATATCGCGATCATAGCGAAGATGAGAGACTGTATGCCAGCACTAATTCAACAAATTTCTGTCACTTTTACCGCACACACAGTCTTCTTGTTTTGCCGCTGAAAAGGCGAGTATAAAACCCGTTGAAGACCACTCTACATGCGATCGTTTACTTCATCTTTCCAGTAGTAGTGTTCGCTCCTTCCCCGTCCCCCTCATTTGCGATGCGCTCACACCCATCACTTCACCTCTCGGTCTCGACACGATCGTTTTCTCACGACGCCGCCACGTTTCCCGCAGTTTCTGCCCGCCGGAGCTCTTAATTACTGCCGCGCGAACCGATCGCAATTCGCGAACCGGCTATCGTTCGTTAAGCCGTTCGGAAAAGTTCCGGACGCTCCGGCTGTATCCGGACTGACTTATTGAACGCCCACCGAAGCGAGGAAACTCCATCGGCCGGGGGGAAAAAAAAGGATCCACCGGGCTGCGAGCGAATGTTTCGCGTACGAGGTGATCCGAGAGGCATCGCGTTCGGAATTGAACTTCGCTCCGGTACCGAAATCGGGCCGCGATTGCGCGCCTAAATATGCAACGTCGCGTTATTTTTTATGATGCGCGCAAAATCAGACGAGAAAGAACTGATTTCCTGCATAAATATTTACCGCACGCGCGGTTGCCTATAAAGTGATATTTATACTTGACATTTGCTCATTTCAAAATTTGCGACGTCGAGCCCGAAATTAAATCACCTGTATGTCGGCAAGTTAAAAACAGGAAGAGCGACGTTTCTGGGACACCGCGTGTGTACGATCGGTGATTAAGCGGCTCCGTAGTGGCGCGCGGTTCTCTGCACACTCGCTAACACCAACGTCCCAACGTCATTTGCAACGTTTATGTCTTCGTTCGTGCAAGTCTGTCCGATATCGCTCGGAGCCCGTATATGAACAGCGAATCGCTAATGCACGTATTGCGCATCCGACCGTGCTGGAAGTATTTAATCCGGCGATCAAATAATCTAACGAGCGTTAACCTCGGCAACTGATTTCCAGCGGGTCGCGTGTTTGCTCGATTACTCGGATCCTGTATGTAATTTGCATAATTAAGTACATTCGTCGTCAAGAGCGGCGCGTGTGACATTCCTGTGCAAAATCGCGTTTCGAGCGATTACGCCACTCAATTACGTTCTCAATGGGTGTCAGCGCCACGTCAAATACAGGTCGCTGCAAAAACCGATATTTCGAAGATAAATTACACCGGAGAGAGAGGGGGGGGGGACGTTCGTTCTCGTCGTCCGCCGAACGAATCGTTCGCGCAAGAATTCTTTTCCCGGGCCATCTCGGAACATTTCGACAGACTACCACGACGACGGCATTGTGATCCTTCCTGGTGATGATCTCCCCACACACAGTAACTTCTCTCGTCGTCGTTGCTTGCACTCCGCGTGCATCATCCCCGTATGTACATATACTCGGCTGCTCCGCGATGATCAACCCAATTCACACACAATATCATGGCTGTATAATTATATTCCGATGTTTCTTCATATATTTAAGGATATATTGCTCATCAGTGCCGTATTTTCAGCGGCGCATAATTACAAATATCTCTGATATGGTCAATCTTTTTCCAACTGCACGAGCAACGAGTTAGATAATATTTTAAGATATATACAGTGCAAATTTCACCGAATTCTTATCAAACTCATTTCACTTCACAATCTTCGTGAAAGTCGAGCAACTTTTGATCCGAGCTCTGAATCGCTATCAAATTTTTCACGTCACTTCTAAATTCAGTGTATCATTGTTTCATAATCTTTTAATCATTTCGCCTTATAGACGACACATCCTTGAGATATTGAATTACTCGATAAATTCGTAGAGGTTCTTACAAAAAACTCAAAGATGATTCTTTCCTCAATTAGGCATAACTTTAATTATTCTTTTTTTTTTTCGTTTTTTTTTTTTCGACGGCAGGTCACCAAAGAAAATGATCGATATATCATTGGGTAAAGTTCGGCCAACTGTGAAAGTAGCGGCCTTGAATTCCTCGCAAAAACCCCTACGAACTTATCGAACCGGTCCAATATTAACCCTCGTACATGTATACCTCTGACGGTCGTTATTAATACATCGCTTTACATGAACGACGCGGATCTTGGATCATTTCTCCGCGGAGCAGCCGCGCGTGCTTCTGATTCTGTCACCTTGAGCCACCTTCTTAATCCGAAAACCTATACTTGGCAACCTTCATCGTCGATGTCACGCGATATTACATCCGGCATCCCGTCGCCCGGCACACTACATGGAAATTGCTTGGAACGCATCGCACCGTCATACGCGCGCTAGCATCATCTGCCGATACGCAGCGTCGTATACCGCGCGGTACACACGTCAAATAATACGAAGCCACGATGCATGAACGTGCATCGCGCCATCCTCACATTATCACCCCTCTTCCCCCCTACGAAGAACCTGTGTCGCGATATCGCTGCGCGATGTCATTCACCGTCATTATCTATTTCTGTGTTCGGACCGAATTACGCGAATTGTCTTGCAACACTGTGACGATATTCTTCGCAGCTCGCACACGGGACAGCAGAAACCGGCGATGTATACCGAGAGGTATGCGGACGGCAGTCTGGCTCTGTTCATTAATTCCCTCGACGAAAACCAGGCCGGGAAGTACTCTTGCATTGGGACTTACGCGAATTCCGTGACGATGAGCAAGTCTATCACGATCGAGGCCATCAGTGAGTAAAGAATAACGATCGAGAGTCCTAGCGATTTCCAGAGAGAAATTACTCCGAGGTGTGCAAGATATGTACGAAGTATATCGCGTGATGTTCAGTTAATTTCACGGAAATGATGGGAGAGATTCGCAGATCTCCTCCGCTACGGTGGAACTTTTTTATTAGAATCGTTCGTACGCAATCGTTTCATTAAAACTTAATCGGAGATCGCGCGTAACCTCTCTCAAATAGGCAGCGCGACTGAACATCTTCGATCGTTTCTCAGTCGAAAAATAAAAGAACAATCGAATAGTAGACATTCTAACTTCGTCTTTTAATCGTCGAATCATGCGTAACGACGGAAAATGATAGAACGTACAGCGGAGATTGCAGAAAAAGTCGGTGATGTAATTCAATGCCTCTCGTGAAATCGGTGTCGTTGCTGCGTAACAAGCGCTGTGCTTTTGTGAGCAAACCTTCGATCTCTCATTCGACAGTCGCGATCACTTGGGAAAACGCACCGTTGGACCAGCATCCTATTCTTGGTGAGGACTTCCCTATCCAATGTCAAGTACGCGCTAGGCCTGCGCCTCTGGTCGACTGGCTCTACAATGGCGAGCTGATCAGGACCAACAATCGTTATATCATAGACAAGTTCACATTGACGATCAAGGATGTTCAGGAATCGGACGACGGTGTGTACACCTGTCGAGCGTCGGTGCAGGCCACTGGAGAACTGAAGGAGCGACCTATTAAAGTTGAGGTATTATTATGATTTTTTGTTCAACATCACTATTAAATAGAATATCCGTCAAAAAAAGGGAAACATTACACGAACCTAAGGAACTGTGGAAAAAATATCCCTCGTACTCGCATAATTACTGTTATTTCCAATTATTCGTGTTTTGTGGTAATTGTTGCTGCTGTTATTTTGCTTCTGTAAAATCTATATTCTGAATTGTCTTTTATCGATGGAAGTGCCTTGAATGTGGCCTCCCAGCCAATCCAGGGTGGTTCCCAAATCACTCTTGGAGACACTCTCATCGATAAAAGTGAGTTTGGAATATGGAATCAAACGCTTTATCGATTGTTTTATTTTAATCTCGCACACTACCGCGACTCTCCGCGACCCCGACTGAGAATCCCGGCTGCGATTCCACGCGGTCGAGCCCGTCTCGAGCCCGGTGTAACAGTCCTTCCATCTGTGCCCGTTGTCGCAGGTGTACACGCGACCCTCGATCGAGGAGTTCTCGAGCCCGGTCGAGATCATCGAGGGCGAGAACGCGAACATCGCGTGCAAGGCCAGTGGCAAGCCGCCGCCAACCCTGAGCTGGATCAAGACTCTCACCCACATGAACCTCTCCGAGGCCGATCGCTTCGGCGTCGATCCGTACACCGGTATGCTCACCATCACCGACGTGAAGCGTGAGGACGCCGGCGAGTATCAGTGCGCCGCGAAGAGTCCGGCCGGCGACGCCAGCATGAACATCCTGGTGAACGTGATCGTCAAGCCCAAGATCATGGAGTTCACGAACATGAGCGTGGTGGAGAAGAAGCAGGTGGACATAATGTGCAAGGCGTTCGGTCGGCCGCCGCCTGAAGTGACCTTCAGGAAGTTCACGGCCGACAAGCAGTACGTGATGGGAGCCCAACCGAACGACGACCGGATCATCATGATAAACAAGCAGAACGAGATGAACGGCGAGACCGTCGGCAATCTGACGATCTTGAACGCCCTCAGGTCGGACGACGGTCTGTACGAGTGCATTGCGAAGAACCGTGGCGGCGCCGCCTACAAGAACGGCCACCTCACCGTCGAGTATCCGCCTTCCTTCCGACTGATGCCGAACATCACGATGTGGTCCTGGGACAAGCGGACGGTGAACCTGACCTGCATCGCCGAGAGCATACCGAACGCGACGATACGCTGGACGATGCACGGCGACCAGAAAATCGAGAACCATGCGATGATCCAGCAGATCGACAACGGGCCGATCTCCGTCCTCTCGGTCACGCCGATCGACAACAGGTACTACACCCATTACAAGTGCATCGCTTCGAACGTCCACGGCACGCGCGACCATCTGATCGAGCTGAGGGAGGCGAAGAGGCCCGGCAACCTGCTGGACGTCAAGATGACCGAGATAAGCGCGACGACGATCACGTTCGGCCTGATACCGCCGAAGCATCCGGATCTACCTGTCAACAGCATCACCGTGCAGTACAAGAAACTGAACGACATCTGGCCGCAGTCGAAGAACAGGACGTGGACCGTCGGTGAGTGGTCTTCTTGACGGTTTTCCCTTAAGCGATTCAAAGCAGAGGGAAAAGATGTGGCGGGCGCGCTCTTGAATACCAAATTAAATGCAAAGAAGCTTAAACTGAAAGAATTGCCAACAAGATAAATTCAACGTTCGGTTAACCGGAAAACTGTAGAAAGACGGAAAGGAGATTTCGTATTTTATCTCTTTAAAGTATGTTTCTCGAAGTTGTAACTGAGTTCGGCTAATCTACCTTAATCCAAATTAATCCGACGCGAGTTAGTTAACCCAGATACGCTCCAAGACACTTGTTGCGAGCGTTTTCTGCTTATTCTTGAATATGTAGATGATCAGAGTTATAATACGGGAGCACGGAACTTCGATATTATTCATGAGAACGGCGGACGAAGTGGCGGGAAATAAAAATAAAGAGCCCGAGGGAAAATCCGAGGTGCAACTTGCTCGCCTGATGCGAGAAAGTATAATGAGTGTAGCAATTGTTTATGCGTAATTTTCGAAAAAAAAAGAGAAATACTTTGAGAAACGTGCGTGATTTAAATTCCAACGGCCGTTTGAATAAACTGACTATCAACTCGTCGTTCGAGTTTCTCGTAAATAGTCACCGCGTGGGTATGTATGAGCGAGACCGTTTTCCGCTTCGTGTCGTTTGGCACCTGCCCATCCAAAACTCGCGTTAACCGAATCGTCACACGATCAATTGGCTCGCTCTTCAGGTAGTCGATACACCGTTGAGGATTTGACGCCGATGACGTCGTACGATTTTCGATTTGCGGCGATGAACGAGGTCGGTCTGGGTAACTGGGGCAACGACTTTCACGAGATGACGCCCGGTAAAACGGCGCCGATGCAGCCGAAGATCATGACGAAGAATACGAAGGATGAGTACGAAATATCGCCGTACAATAATCAGTACGAGCTCGCCTGGAAGACGCCGGCCGATAACGGCGAGCCGATAGATCTGTACCAGATCAAGTACTGCCAGATAAAACGCGTTTCCGGCGATTGGGACACATTGCACGATAGCTGCGTATTGATAACTGTCAAACCTCAGAATAGGCACTGGCTGAAGGACCTGAACTCCGACTCCTTCTACACTGTCGAGCTGCAGGCTCACAACGCGATGGGCTTCAGCTCAGCAGGACTCGCCAGGTTCAAGACGTCCAGAGGTGAGTTCCCACCAACTGCAACCGTATCATCTTTCAATGTTACCTCGATCTAATCGTAATTACTCTGTCATGACGTATATCTATATTTCGTAATAATTTTCACTCGAAATCTGATTCCCTTTGAGATATATATGTACATATATATATATATATATATATATATATATATATATAT